TTTGTAGTTTACGGAAGTCGTACTGGGACACCCGAGTGGATTCGTGTATAGGGCGCTCTGGATTGCGGTTGCGATTGATGGGGTTGGAGGCTTAAGAGTGCACCTAATAGCCCGGAAAATATAGTACTTCTATACCCTTCCTCAGAATTGACCCATGAATTGTTATTTAAAGGGCCCACATTAGGCTATTTTCTGTTCTGTTTTAATGTTATTTTCATCATTCACACATGTTTAACACACACACCCTGCATATTAAGTTCTTTTCTCAAGCAGAAAGCATTTTGTACTTTGGAGATGTAGATTGCCCGGTTATGCAGGGTTACTCAAGCATGTGTGAATGAAACAAAACACAACTTTAGGTATGTTTTTAATGAGGTAACAGCATTATAACATGACTTAAAGCCCTCAAGAGTCAATTTTGCGTAATATATGACCTTTAACTTGTCTCTAAGCGCCCTTATAATAAATGAGATATTCCATAAACTGATTCTAAGTGTAAAAGAGTGTAGTGCTAATTTAGATGTGAGTGGGATTACTGTATCTCTCTGTGGTCCCCGATCGTTTTGCTCATAACTGCAGCTCTTGTATTCCTGTATGAAGATTATAGCACTGATCCTTTTCATAATGAACTCTTTGTAAAACACGCTCTGCCTCTGTGCTGTTATTTCAACTGTGAAACCAGGATTTTGAAGCTAGATTACAACAAAAAAGCAACAGTTTGGCTCTGAATGTTTAAAGATCCTATATTACACAGACTTGACTCTTGTGAGCTTTAAGCCATGTTAGAATGCCATTACATCCTCATAAACATATCTGGAGTTGTGTTTTGTTTCATTCACACATGTTTGAGTAATCCTATCTACATCTTCAAAGCTCACAATGCTCCTGTTCCACCTTGTGATGTCATGAAGCAGTAGTTTTCAAGTTAACAGCTTCTTTTTACCTTTAGTTTTAGCAGAGATTGTAAATTCCAGGGCTGAAATTATCCAAATTATTCTAGTAAAAGTGTATGGAATTTAAAACCGCACAATGTGTTTTCTGTTTGAGAGAAGAACTGTCAATGAAACAACTCCTGGTATGCTTTTTCCTCATGTTTGATGAGGAAATAACCTTATAGACTCAGTAAAATATAAATCCGTGATGCAGTTTTCAAAGTGGTCAGTGTCCAAGTGTGTGGTATGGAGTTCCTAACTGCAGCCTTGTAAATAAAACAACTAAACACTCACCTGTACTTTGAGAAATATCTAGGCATTCTGAAATCCTCTCCTGGTCTCTAGTATGGATTCAGTCTGCCAAATAAACAATGGAAAAAGTAAAATCTTTCCAAGTTTAAATTACTTTTACCAATTGATAAAATGTTCTCTTGAACTGAGTAAATTTGACAGGACAGGTAAAATGATCTACCAATGGAACATGTCTTTTTGTACTTAAAATAGGAAAGTACATCTTGTTACACTAAAAATAAGAAAAACAACAGCTATTTGAAAAAATAAGAAACAAAATCTTATTTTGCTTGAATTGAGAAAAAAATTATTCCATTGGCAGATCCTTTTTCTACTCAAATCTAAAAAAAAATCTAATTAAATGTGCTTAAATTGAGTCATTTGAATTTACCTGGACATTAGTGTCTGCAGTGTAGTAAGAGTTCTTTTCCATCTCAAAAAGTTACTCTGTAGTTTTTCAGTTAGTCACTCTCAACTTTTGTTGTTGAAAATCAAACTTCTAAACAGCACCATGAAAGCTCAGGCTCTTAAAAATGTGTTTTTTAAATCCATTTTGTAGTTTTATAGTGTCTGTTAACATCTGCATTTTGTCACCATGGTAAATGCTAAATATTCCCCCACAGAGATACATGTAGAACACCCCCAGCATGACGTCACTGCAAAGTGTCAGTAAACTAAAAGTATTTCTTAACATTGCACCAAATTGGATTGTATTGTCCCTGGGAGATGTTATTGCTTTGCCTGAAATGTTCCACAGTATTGTTTAAATTTATCTTGATTTTTTAAATTGCTAAAAAAAACTATTTGGTTTGGTGGCATTTCTTGCTCATCTCCAATGGAGATAGATCAGTCTTATGCCATTCTATCATTTCCTTCTAGTGTAATACAAACTCTGGTAACCCCATTCTTTCCCCTTAAATTCATTATCACCCCCCTAATTTTAGACCTTAATATCAAAGCTAGTTGATGATAGATGTGACTAAAAGGCCTCATATGTCCCGGGGTGATTCTTGATGTGAAAAGTTTGATGCCCTGTTCTGCTCTACACTCTGATATCTTCAAGGACAATCAGCTAAACAGTTGATATTAAGAGCGCTGTGTGAAATCGATGGCTGCCGGGGCTCTCAGTGCTGTACAAGAGGCTGTAATTAGTCACGGCTAAAGGAGCGTTAGCCACACCAGTTTCATATTAATAGATTTCTGCTCTTAACTCTACAGTAGAGAGTCTTTCTTACTTTACACCTCTCTGTGGCTGTTTATCACATGAAGAGTGAGTCATTGAGCTAAGAGATGACAAAGTAGCACAAAAGAAGACCTGAAAATTGTTACACTCTTGAATTTTATAAGAATTATGAATGAGAAAGACCATTGCATAGTGGTTTTATATGTATATATATATTTTATTTAAAACTAAATATTTCTTTTGAATGTGGCATATTGCCGCATTAAACAGGAAGGAATGGTGATATATTTTTGTTGTGATGACCTCCACTGGATAGCTGCATATCACACTGGCGGGCAGCGGATCTTTTTTCACTTGTACCGAAATGACTACAAGACGCTGCTGAATCCTACTTGTATCATAGATTTAGGAAATAAAATTAGAGAAGTACAGAGCAGTGGCCGTATATTGTTGGCAGTAAAATGGAGGTTGATCTGTAAAATAGCGTCTTAAAAATAATTTAATATTAAAGATTGCTCAAACATGCATAAATCACTCCAAATACAACTTTGAGAGAGAAAATGAGAAAGGGAAACATGGTTAAAATCTCTGAAAAGTTGATTTTGCAGAATAGGTCTACTTTAATGGTGTGCTATGTAACCTTTCTGGTGCTTTTGTACATTGAACTATTATGTCTTTACCCTGAATGTTCCACAATATGAGATTATTGGTGTTGCTAACCAGAGTGGTGTAAATATTATGGCTCATCGTGTATGCCTGTTTTTCATAAGCACTTGTACTTTTTATAAACCTTCTTCTCTACTGTAGCCAGCATATCTTTGAACAACTTTAAAATACACCAGACTGTTTTTAATCCTGTGGCCTGACTCTCCAAATATTGGTGTTGAAAATGGTGTTTCTTCTTATTTTTCAGGTCGACTATTAACCCTCCCTGGAGCCTCCAAAGTATTAAAGTATCGCACTAGTTTATGGTGTAAACTTGATAGCAGCTTAAAAGAACAGAAACACTAACCTTTAGAAATCCCACTGGACCCAGACTCTTGCTCTCTCACAAAAACAAGCACACAAAAGTGATGTTATAAGGCCCTGAAATAACATGAGCTCTTGAATATTTTACAAGGTGTTAGAAAACTGTACGTCTGGTGTCAGGGGATGTTTATCTTGAAGCAGCTCTGGCTTTTTGATCTTATTTTATGTGGTTTAATCTCCTGTTTATGTTCAGAGCTGTTTGCATTGTTTCAGATGTTTAGCTTTGGGTTGATGCAAATTATGAGGTGAGGATTAGACTAAATTAACACTTTGTAGTTTGAATTGTAGACCGCTCTATACAAGTGACGTAAACAAACTTAAGTGTGAAAGCAATTTGGGTTACACATGGTCGTGTTTTTTTCATTTGGATTAAAGAGAAAAAGTAAACTAGCAATTATACAGTATTTTATGACAGCAGAAACTCGTGTAGTAGTAAATGACAATAAATTTTTCTTTTACTACTACATGATGGCCTTAAAGAGCACATTTTCTGATCTATATTATCATGTTTCCACATCACAAACATACCTGGAGTGGTGTTTTGTATGAAGGTAAATATGTTGCAAAATGGGAGAGCGTGTAAACTAGATTTTAGAACTTGTAGAATATAATGTGAGAATGTGTAGAACAAAACTTTGAACTTTGTAATTGCCTATTTTCATATGCTTGAGTGTACTTGCGGATTAAAATTTTATTTGATATTTGATATTTGCATGAACAGATTGGCAGCTAAAAGGACTAAAACAAGTCTAAACCAGGTCTCAGTCCTGGTCTCAGTCCCTGTTTGATCCTGGTCTGATTCCCGGTCTGATTCCCGGTCTGAGTCCCAGTCTGAGTCCCGGTCTGAGTCCCGGTCTGAGTCCCGGTCTGAGTCCCGGTCTGAGTCCCGGTCTGAGTCCCGGTCTGAGTCCCGGTCTGAGTCCCGGTCTGATCACCCAACAGTCTAAGCGAGAGCACCTCTGGGCCAGTCCCGACACTCTTGGTTCAGTCCCGGTTTAGTTCTGGTTCAGTTCTGGTTTAGCCCGGGTTTAGGACTGAGACCAGGACCAGGACCACTGATAGCATTGGGATTGAGACCGGGACCAGACCAGAACTGAGACCAGGACTGAAACCGGGACAAGATCAGGACTGAGACCAGAACCACTGGTAGCACCGGGATCTGCAGCGGATCCGCTTTCGGTCTGCCATATCCGCCCCACAGTCAGTCCACTCCGTATTTGCTGCATATTTGTTGCGTATTGGTTTTATGACTATCGCTAAGCTTATCCTTTCGGCAGCCTGTTGTCACAGAGAGGGTATGCGACTAAATCATCTTCGATCCGCACTGTGAACGCACTTTTAACACAACACTAGTTAGATGTGACTGTCAATGAGCGGATCTACGGCTAAACCGGTTCAGATTCGCTGCGTGGATGCACCATTGACTTATCAGCTGTTAACTTTAGTTTTTAAAGTTTAAAAACACGGTCTATTACTTCCTGTATCACCACATGACATCAAAAGTGTTTTCTGTTTGAAAGAAGAACTAAAGACCCTAAATATTGGTTTGTTTTTGTGTCTTGCAGAAGTTGAGGCAGAAGAACCAGCAACTCAAGCAAATCATGGACCAACTGAGAAACCTCATCTGGGAAATCAACTCGATGCTGGCTGTGAAGAGCTGAAGGACTTTGAGTAAAACTAACCTTTATTTGAATTACAACAGACAGGCTAATCCAATAATGTGGTCAATAACTGGACATATGACAGGGTACAGAGCGCACTTTAAATAATAGTACACAATTTGAACATGTTTCTGATGAAGATATGAAGGACCTGAAATGAAGAAGATAACAAGATCCTCTGTTATGACAATATGGACAACAAATACTCTTAAGTCCTCAGTATTCAAAACTTTACCAGACTAACCCCAAGAGTGAATATATAATTGTATCTTTTTGTAGAGGTAGCTAAAGTGTATATATTCTATTGTTATCATGTTAGTATCTGTTGTTGTCTGTTAGTTTGTCTTTGTCTGAGTGTACGAACAGATGCAGAAGATTTATGATTTTAGAGAGCCCCTCATCTGCAAAATCATTGGTTATTTTTTAAAAGAGAACAATATGTATTTGTTTATCCATGGTCAATCAACAACAATGCATTAAGTAGGGATGCACCGATACGATAATGGTATTTGATATCTGCGCCCAAGATATCCGTGCGGCCGATATCCCATTTTAGTTTCTAAACTGGTGTAGTAAATTTTCAACTTACTGGCCAATTTTGCCCTAAAATGTTAACGTATTAAACTTGTATTTTTACAAAGCTGCTCTCTAGTTACTTTAAATGATAATAACAGTTACAAAACACATGTGGATCATTTTTGACTTATGCTGTTTGTGTTTAAAGGAAATAAATTCTGTTTTCAGTCTCTGCACTGGTATGGGTTGATATCAAATATCGGAAAAGCTGGATCGGTGCATCCCTAGCATTAGGTGGGTTAAATACTCACTCACTTTGTTAGTATTATTAGTACTTTGTTTAGTATTTGTATTATTTTTGAAGAAGGTTTCATGATTAATAATTGGAGGTTCAGCTAAATAATGTAGCTACATCATACTAACATGGACTGGTTTGTTTAAAAGGTTTACAGCCAATCCAAAGACCAGAGTTGTCACAATATTAAAATTTCAATGCAGGGAAAGGAAAAGGAAAAGACTTGATACTCAATAATATTAATCAATCATTATCAAAATAACAATTGAAAACACCTAAATAAAACATAATGTATTTTTAAACAAAATAATAGCAGTGTCTTTAAAGCGCGTGTATTGTTCACAATCAAATTTTTTTTATCTATTATTTTTTTTAGCTTTCTACCATAATATAACATTGTTCTCTCATTGAAAACATGCATGAAGAAGTTTTATATGTCATCCATGCATGTTTGAGTAATTTAGTGATCTCACCCTCCTCACAGTTAGCTGTAAGATTCTGTACTATGCTCCGCCCACAAGCCTACGTCATCCATGCGCCCACACGACCTGATGTGGTGTGCAGGAGTTTCATGAGCAAGACATACGCTGATTGTGTTGTAGTAGCGTTCTGAAGGGGGAGAGACTTAATGCGAGGAGCAAAGGGAGGGGAGACTCAGAGTGACACTTAGAAAAAAACATGTTAATACGCTGTTTTTGGCGAATATAGCATTTTCAAAACAATAAAATGTAACATGGTGAATTAAATATATTATGTGTTAGCAGTTAATACAGGGTAGCCGCGGGTATTAAAAGTCTTGAAAAGGTCTTAAATTTCACAGGTTCAAAGTGTGAGATAAAAGTAGCGGAAATTACAGTAGTTGGTTGGTCATTATTAGAATTGGATCTGGTGTTTTTCGCCCGCAAAATGGGTGTGATGTTGGTCTTAATTTTCATTCAAGTGGTCTTAAAAAGGCCTTTAAAAAGTCTTAAATTTGGGGTAGTCAAACCCGGGGATACCCTTTAATACCCCTTAGACGTAAAATACCTCCTCTTTAATATCATGACATATAATATTACCGTATTTTCCGTACTATAGGGTGCTCTGGATTATAAGGCGCACTGTCATTGAATAGTCTATTTTCAAACGTTTTTCACAAATAAACTGCACTGGACTATAACGCGCATTAAACGAAACACAACAGTTCGATGGGTCAGTGGGACTTTGTTGCGCTGACTCTGGGCTTTGTTCAGTTGTGGCGTGTAGGGAGGGTGCTGTCTGGGACCGCTGGATTGTTGGCGTGTTTCCAGTGACTCAGTTGTTCAGTTGTGGCTAGAAGTGGCACATTGCACTTGCTTTATCGTTTCGTTCCTCTGTTCCATCCCTGGAGTGATGAGTGTGGCTGCGGGTATTTTTCACTGTGCGGTCGCTGTCTGCTCCATACGTGTTTGCGTGTGCTGTGTGGCTTTGTAGTTTACTGAAGTCTTGCTGGGACACCTGAGTTGATTTGTGTATATGATTTGATGGGGTTGGAGGCTTATGAGTGCGCTCTATGGTGTGGAAAATATGGTATGTCTTTTAACTTTGATATACCGTATTTTTTGGGCTATTAGACGCACTCTTAAGCCTCTAACTGCATCAAAAATTTACTGCATGCTCCACAATCCAGAGCGCCATATACATGAATCCACTCGGGTGTCCCAGCACAACTTCAGTAAACTACAAAGCCACACCACCCGCAGTGCATGCAAACACGCACGGAGCAGACAGCGACCGTGCAGCGAAACACACCCGCAGCCACACTCATCACTCCACGCAGACGAGGAACGGAACGGAGGAACGAACTGAAAAAGGGAGTCCAATGTGCCACTCTGAGCCACAACTGAACAACTGAGTCACTGTGAACACGCCGACAATCCAGTGGTCCCAGACAGCACCCTCCCTACACGCCACAACTGAACAAAGCCCAGAGTCACAGTAAACACGACAAACATAGTCCAACTGACCCATCCAACTGTTATGTTTCCTTTAAAGTCCAGTGCGGTTTATTGGTGAAAAAAGTTCGAAAATAGACCATTTAATGACAGTGCACCTTATAATCCAGAGCGCCTAATAGCCCGTAAAATACGGTAGATCATCCTAAAACAGGAACGATCCAACTTTGGCCTACTTTTATTTCAGTATCAACACACACACAATGATTTGATAACAGTTTGAGTATCAGTTAGTATTGACAACTCTACCAAAGACGCAGTAATAACAATAAATAAAATATAGTAATAATTTGAGTAATGTAGCAATATTTCTTTTACACTTCCATCAGTTTGTGTTTGACAAATTGAAAACCAGTCTCAAGAAGCACTGTGAATTCTTATTGTTCTTATCTGTCTACTTACTCGGTGCTATGTCAGTCAGTATTCAGATTCATATTTTACCTGTTTAATCATGTGTTTAGTACATTCTGTGTTCAGTCATAGTACTCTGTTCAACACTAAATAAGCAGAACAGTTGATCAAATTTAGCCATATGTAACTGAAGCTGTGTAACCGCCATTAAAGCTGCCATCTGTACGTTTATTTGAATTCATATTTTTTGGTAACGCTTTAGTTTAGGGGCCTCGTATAAATGGTAAAATGCATAATAAGTGCTTAATTACATCTTTGTTAGTATTTATCCAGTTACTTTCAGTGCCGTATTTTGCACTTAGTTGGAGCCCAAATTAAAGTGTCACCCTTTTCTTTTTTTTTCTTTTTTTCCAGTAAAGGGCCACGTCTAATTTCTCTTTCCATTTTGCAGAGGAGACACAGCGAGGGGAGAGGATATAAACTCTCCGCTGAGACCAATAAAGTTTGATTCTTTTCTCTGATGTGTGCTCCTGAAGCCTCCCTCATGTTTACTCCTTCCTTCTGTGGTGTTTCTTTTGGATGACACTTAATATGACACATGTGATTGACAGCTGAAGAAGTGAGGATCGAGGAGAACGAAGCGAGGAAAAAGAAAAGGCTCTATTCACGCTTACGTCACAAACCAGGAAGATGTTCGAAAGCGTGCATCTGTCTCTCTCACTGTCTTTCTCCTCTCTCTCCTCGCTCTTCTTCTTGCTCCCTCTTCTCTCTCTCTCTTCTCCCTGCTCTCTCACTCACTCTTCTACCCTCTCTTTCTCCTCTGTACCGTCCTCTTGCTCTTTTTCTCTCCCCACCACACTCTTTCTTTCTCTCTTTTTTCTCCCCTATCTCTCACCCTCTTTCTTCTCTCTCCATTATCTTCTCCCCTCTTTTTGGAAACAGTCCGTGTATCATTCGTTCATTTGTTTTTCAAAATAAAACCAAAAATAAGAACATGAAAAAACTACTGTTTTCTTCATTATTTGTCTCCAAAACCAAAATGAAAAAAACAGATTACAGTGTTTTTTTCAGTTTTCGATTTTGTGTTTAAATGGTTAATTGAAAAAAACGGATAACGGTCGTTTCCCTTTTCCGTGACTTAAACTGCGATGCCGGACTTTTGCGCTGCATACGGACTGAACCAGGACTAAACCATTACTAAGCCAGGTCTAAACCAGGTCTAAACCAGGTCTAAACCAGGTCTAAACCAGGACTAAACCAGGACTAAACCAGGTCTAAACCAGGACTAAACCATCTTCAGTCCTGGTCTGGTCCCAGTCTCAGTCCTGGTCTCAGTCCTGATCTGGTCCCAGTCTCAGTCCGGACTCAATCACGATCTGGTCCTGGTTTAATCCCGGTCTCAGTCCCAGGTCTCAGTTCCCGGTCTCAGTCCCGGTGCTGGTCCCTGACTCAGTCCTCGTCTGGTTCCTGTCGAAGTCCTGATCTCAGTCCCCGTCTGGTCCCGGTCTGGTCCCGGTCTGGTCACGGACCTGGTTTAGTCCTGGTTGAGTCCATATGCAGAGCAAAAGTCTGGCATCACAGTTTAAGTAACGGAAACGGGAAATGACCGTTATCCGTTTTTTCCATTATTCATTTAAACACAAAATTGAAAACTGAAAAAACGAATCATTATCCATTTTTTCATTTTGGTTTTGGAGACAAATAATGAAGAAAATAGTTGTTGTTGTTTTTTTTTTTTTTTTTTTTGAAAAACGGATGAACGAATGATACACGAATTGTTTCCAAACGTCTTCCTGGTTTGGGACGTAAGCGAGAATAGAGCCTAATGAGACGTGGCCCTGGTCTTTGTGGAATCTCACCTGTGCTCTCTGGTCTTCTTCTGTCAGACCAAAGATGACAGCAGTAACATAGACAGCATCTAGTGGAGAAATGTGAGATTACAACTGATGGTAGCTTTAATATATTGTTTTTGTCTTGTTTTATGTGAATTTTTCAAACCTCCAGTTGCAGATCGGGGGCTCTCTGAATTGAAATCACGTCGTAGCAAAGTGCTAAGTCTGAGTCTAGAACCAGATCTAAAGCTCTAGCCTAGTTACTGTGGACATGCCATCTCAATGCCTTGTTAACCACTCTCTTCAACTATTAAATCTCTCAGTGATTTTTAAACCTCTCATTTTCTGCTCAGTATGTTCACCGTCAAAGCAAGTCGCTTCAACCAAAGTGGTATTTTTCTCCTCACAAACTGTGGTAAGACTGTACAAATTTGGAATAATATTACTTTTTCTCATAAACTTTGGAATTAGATTTAGATTTAAAACTGTTTCAACATTTTGAACATGTACAGAAGTATTGACAATTTAGAGAAGACTGAAATATGAACTGCAGTACAAAACTAGTATAAGAATCACATGTATTTCAGAATATTCTATGATTTTATAATCCAGATGGAGTGTGGAGGTCTGTAACTGTTTGGGTCATGACTGAAAAATATCCACAAATGTTGATCCTTATCATTGTTTGTTAGGCTTTGGCTGGTTGAATAATGACACCACTTTGTGAATCTATTGTGAAAATATGTGTTTATTTATGCGAACAGAGAATGTTGAACTTTGTCCCGGTTTTAGTTTCATGTGGACAGACCCAGTAATTGCAGAGGCATTAACCGTAAACCAGATCAACAAATCTGCAATCTGACAGTTACACAGCAAATTACAACATCTGACCTCTCCTCCAGCACCGTTGTGAAATATAGAGATTCTTGCAAATTGATACTTTGCAGACATCACACCGGGGATGTGCAGCATGTTTGTCTATGGTGGAATATGCTGCAGTTACCATGGTGACACAACGTACTTGATCATTATTTGCATTATACGAAAACTCATGAATCTGAATATTAATGTAAACAAAGACTTTTCAGGGGCCTGTGTTCAATTCACGGTCCTGTTAAAGGAATTTGATTTTCAACAAAAAAAAGTGAAATTGGCTGAGAGTGTTGGCTAATGCAATCTTGTGACTGTAATTTTATGTGTGAGAGACTTGTTTAACAGCACAAATCATCTTACCTGTTGTATTCCAGCTAAATCAGTTCTTTCTGCTCAGGTTATGTTGACTTGACTTTATTTAGATCTTTAATTTAACAGAGCGCCAGACAGAGCAGAGCCTACTGTTAGCATCACATCACCTGCAAAGTATCTGTAGTATTTCCTGTTTTAATTTGATAGTGATTAAGGCTATGTCCACACGACAACGCTCCTGAATGTTTTTTTTTTTGCACGTTGAAAAAAATTTGCATCCCCACACGTCAGATCAATAAATATTCACATCCAGACTACAACATGGAGCACTGAGTGAAAATGCTGTAAAACACCTGCCACACCTGTATGTGCTGCTGTTAACAATGATAATAATATTTAATAATAATGCTTATCTCATCACTGTTGTTTTAAACTTTAAGGCCATTTAGCCTATTTTAGATGTATCCCAGAAATATAGCCATTTTGTTTTGCAAAAGTTAAACATTAGTTTTTGTTTTTAGCCGTAAGATTTGAATGAGAATTATTAGAATAACTTGGTCTCAAAATCTAACAGTTTGATTGCCCGTGCATAATCTTTGTTATTGATCCGTGTGTGCAGTCTGTGTGGTGCATGTTGTTAGTATTAGTGCTAGCAGTGTGTCTCAGTTGCGGCTCCGTAGGCTACACCTGTCCCATTTTGACAATGAGGCTAGTTCGAGGGCTGCAGCCTCCGCTACATCGGAGGACTCTGCTGATGATGGGGTTGCGACGTCATCGTTTTCCAAAAGCTGTGATTTGCTTGTCCACACGACAACACAACACTGGCATTCTCAGAATTCTCTACTCTGGAACCCGTTCTCAAAAAACTCAGTTTTCACCCACCCAAAATGCCGGCTCTGTGTTGACAAAAGGCCAAAACGAATACAAACTTCACTGTGTGTAGGCCTACGTCCTACACACAGAAACCTGCACACGAGCCAAACCCAACAGTAATAGACTTAATCTTACAAATACAGTGTTTAATTATTCAGTGGTAAAGGTATTTCTCAGACTTGTCTTGTGTCCAGTAGGAGACACAGAGGGACAGTAAAGTTATTTCTCAGACATGTCCAGTGTCCAGTGTCCAGCAGGAGACACACAGGGACAGGAGGGGCTTTCAGTGAAATAAAAAATCTATGTGAGTGGAGTAAGTTCTGAAGCCTCCTCACAGAGCTAATGCAGGTGTGGTTATTGCATCCCGAAGGGCACTGTTGCATTGTGGAGTTTTATAGCCAGACATATGGAGTGGGTTTTCATTCAGAGGTCAGGGCCACAAATGATAAAGGGAATAAAAATGGCAAGCGGCACTGATGGGCCCTTGTTGACGCAGAGAGAGAGAGAGACAAAAAAAAGATAACGTTTAAAGGGCCACGCCTCTATATCATTTAAAAACGTTAAAAACAGTGTTTGATATTTGGTGATTACCGTTGGAATAAAAAGGTAAGTTTCTATTATTACTATGGGAACATTGTAAATTTTATTTTTATTTATTTT